TAAAATCAAGAATGTCAAATGGCAAGATTTTCAAAAATAAAAATTTTGGATAAATGTTTAAAGTTTCTAAATGTTCATTATTTTGAAATTAATTGTCCCCATCCCAACATTTTCCCTAGTAGTTTGCTCTTAAATGCCTAGTTGTGTAGACCCTTCACAAAAATCTACTTATGTATCATTTAGTAATGAATATCTTTTTTTCTTTAGCCTACTTTCTCTCTATTATGTTGCTTTCTCAAACAAATAAAGGAAACATTGATGTACTGCATTTAAAATTGAAATTGTGAAAGGTTTGTCTAGACAATGCTTGCACTACATTGAAAAAAAATTCAAAGGTAACATGAAAAAATGAACAAAAATGAGAATTAAAGAAAATCAAGGAAAAAACTGGTACCTTATGGGTTTGAAAGAATGAATCTTTGATCTACCAAAAAGGTTCTTCAACCATCAAGATTTTGAAAGCCAGTTCTGAAGTTGAATATATAAGATTGAAAAAGGAAAAAATCGAAGACAAAAAAAAAAAAAGGTTCTTGAAAACCTTGTTACCACAACTGAAAATGCATGGTATTGCTTTGTTCGCATCATATTCCCTACATACACTCAATAAAAAAGAAACGTAGTGTCTAGACTAAATTTTTGAAGTTAAAAATTAACCAAGGGGTGATAGTGTCATAAACCCTCAATTGAATTATTTCCAAAAACACATGGACCTTTGTTTGAAAGAAACTTGTCAGACATGGTTTGTGAAATCTCTAACATAATCTCCAAATTCCATTCAAATTAGATTTTTTAAAGTTATCAAGCGTTTAATGGGAGGAGCTTCTAGTTGAATTTTTTTTTTAATTGTCAAATCTCTAATAAAAGGAGCTTTCTTAAAGTTGTTGAGTCTCGGATAGGATGAGCCTTTCAATTCAATTTTTAAAGTTATTGAGCCTCTGATAAGAGGAGCTTTTAGTTTAATTTTTAAAATTGTTTAGCCTCTGATGAAAGGAACTTATGGATTTGCTTCAAAAAAAAAAACAAAATCAAAATCAAAAATCAAAATAAAAAGAAAGAAAACAAAACAAAATAAAAAAATAAAAATTTTCTTTCGACTCTGGATAAAATTGTTATAATTGTTTTTGTCCTTTTCCTGATTCTCAATAATATGCAAAGAAAGACAACTGTAAACATCCGATTTTGATCAAATTGTTTAAAATGGACCTCAATTTCAATTGAATGGATGTTGGGCCCAAATTCTATGTCAATTGGGCTTAAAGCCCAAATTTTATCTTTGACCCAAAGTTATAGCCCAAAATCAAGTTAAGGGCTCAAGTTTTAAAAAGAAAAAGAGCAAATTAAATAAAAATAATAAAAAGTAATTAAAAAAAGCCTATAATTATAAGTGTCATGCATGGCACTGGCAACCTACAAGCCATCCAACCCTTAACTTACACCTTTTTCTCCTTTCAACCATGGTAGATAAGGCTAAGTCTTCAAGAAATCTAGTTTAAGCTAAAATGGAAAATAAGAAAGTCACATTAGCAACTGCCCTGGCAGTGTGAAGGCTACCGGTGACCTTTTGAAAACCATTCAGAATCCAAGATATCATGGGATTTCATCTCCCCTCCTAGCTCTATAAATTTAAAGCTCAAACACAAAATAAAAAAGAAGAAAGAATGAGGGAAAAACTCTACAAAAAAGACAAGCCTAAAAAAATTCTTTTGTCAAACAAAAAAAAAACCCTTTACTAATCTGTAAAAACTAAAAGCAAAATTCACATCCCTTAGAGTAGGGAACCAATGCCAGAAAAAACAAACCATAAAAAAAGAAAAAAAAAAGAGTTTGTAGCCAAGATTTTGAGAACAGATCTGGGCTTTTGGGGAAAGTTCTTAAAAAAAAAGGGCTCAAAATGAGAATCAGAAAGTTAAGAGGAGTTTTTGGTAGTTTTTGAAAGGTTTTCAGTGATCAACATGGTGGCTAACAATCGATGACTGTGACAATGAATGGCGGCACACAACTACAACCTATCATTTTTTGGGAAGAGGCTGGGAGAAATTTTTTAGCTTAGAGGTTTTTTTTTTTTTTTTTTGCATAAAGGGAGGAAGAAATGAGTTGGAAAAAATTGGCTTTTTATAGGGGAACGAATAGTTAAAATGATGCATTTGGTTGAGGAAGGATCCTTATGAACCTACTACCTGACTCGAGATCTGCACGACTCGACCTAGAAATGCAGTAGCTAACTAGACTTTGATCGGTCTAACTTAATCGATATTGAACTAGATCTTATTCGGTTTGAATCATAAAAAATCACTCTAGATCGCTTGAATAGTAGGAAACCACTCTAGACCGTTGAACAACTCTAAACCGTTGATTGATCTGATTCAGTTTTTTTTGTATTTTTGTATTTACTTATTTTATTTTATTATTATTGTTTTTTTTAGTTTTTTTATGTTCCAAAATATTCTTTATATAAAAATAGAGTTTAAATTTTTGATAATTTTAAATTTTGCTACAAAAAAAATTTTTCTTTAAAAATAAAATTGAAAAATGAAAGAGTAATAAATAAAATAAGAATAAATTTTCCTTCTTTTTCTATAAAATAAAAAAGTTTAACTAAAATTAATAATAAAAAAATAAGAAAAATGAAAATTTATCTGATAATTAGATTCTAAGAAAATTTGCACAATGATTCCTACAAAATCTCTCGGTGAGATTTTTTTTAAAATACTATCAGTTTATTAGAGTGTTTAAAAAAAATTTTCAAAAAAACTATAAATTCCTTTTTCTTCTACTTAAAAAAATAAAAAAAATAAATAGTAAATAATAAAAATGGAAAAATTAATAAACAAATTTTTCTAAAAGAAAAGCTATATTTGTTCTAAAAAAATTACTCGTAAATAAAAAGAGTAAAAAGAAAATTTTTTATTTAATGATGAGATTCTAAGTTAATCTGAGTAGTGATACTTAAGAAATCTCTAAATGAGAATTTTTTTTAATACTACCAACACATTAGAGTATTTATAAAAAAAAAATTCAATGCAATAAAAAATCTTTCTTTTTTTCTAAAAAGAATCTAAAAATATATATAATAAAAAATTATCAATAAACAATTTTCTTTAAAAAAAAGAGATAAATAAAACATGCACACTAGGATTTAATAATTTGCATTGCCTACATATCATATTTAATTTTTAAATAATAAATACGAGTCTCCGAGAACGAGATTCTAAAATAATTCGAGTAGTGATTTCTAAAATTCCTTAGGTGAGAAAATTTCCTTCAATGTTACCAACATATTAGAACATTTTTAAAATTTTTTTAATAATAAGGTTCTAATTTATTTTTTTAAAATAAAATGGATTAATCTTAAAAATAATAAAAATAATAAAGAAAATTTTGTAAAAAAGAAAAACAGAAGAAATAACAAAACTGGAAATGAAAATAAATTAATAAAGGTAGTTAATAGAATTATTTTTGAATACCAAAATTAAGACTTTATTGTCAAAATTAAAAGATAATACATAATTAATTGATGCCATTTTTCTAAGAGCTTAGTATGGGTACTAATTCTTTCTTATGTATAACTGACTCTCAAACTCAAATTATTTTTGCAAACCCAAAAATTATATTTTTAATTAATTTTAAAAAATAACCAATCACATTTAATCAAAAAAATTGATAACGACTTCATTTATTTTTAAATTCATCTAATAATTCTAAAACTGTTACGACAACATGTATAACAATAACATAATTTGATTGGGTCAGATTTGCTGAAATTGATTTTTATTTATCATAATTGAATTGATGGAAAAAAAAAATCAAATACATAAAAGATGCACATATACGATCATGTTTTTTATAGGGTTCATCACACATAAACTAAGTTGCAAAACCTTTTCTAGGAAAAGAAAATGTTTTATTTCTCAAATATTATATATATATATACACACACATATATATTGATTTATTCACTCTATTGATCACCAAATTAAGAAACCAGATTTAAAAGGATGAAATTATTGTTTTTTATAGTAATTTACTCATAGTGCAAGTCTAAGATTTCGGTTGTGTGAAAATGATTTTGGATATCTCAATTATCAATAGCATTATTACCATACATAAGCCAATTATTACTATACGATTTGTATTCACCCAGTTGCTTGCGTCAATAACGATGCAAATAAATCCAACCTTTAGCACCAAATAAATAAATAAATAAATCCAAACTTTTTAGTTTCATGATCCTAGGCTTCAAAAATATTAAACTTATATTAAAAATAAATTTTAATATAATAATAATTTAAACTGGACCTGAGCTCAAATTGTATTCCAATGAAAATTAATTTTATACACAATGCAATTGTAAAGAATACTCATTCGAAAAATTACTTTGATTCTCTAGAGCAATATTACCTTACAAGGTGATGAGCCAATTTATTGATTCACGTATACTAAATAAATATTAAACATATACAAATATATTGATTCTCTCAATCAAAATTACTTACAAGTTTAAAACTAACTATAAAGTTCAAGTTTTACCACGAAATTTATATATAGACAACTCAACAAAACCAGAAAAGGCCAAAGTTAGATTAATTAAGCTCCTCCACGAATTTTTTTAATCAAAACCATCAACTTTAAACATAAAACGAAAGAAAATGGATGCGTTAGCTAGGACAAATTAAGCACAACCAAGAAATTTGTACTTAATCCCCCAAGTTTATTCGGAAACAACAAAACCTGTTGCACTGTTTATATTGTCAAAGATGCACAAGTGAGGTTCCGTCAATCAAATTGGCACTTTTCTATCGACTCCAGGTAGCATTCACCCTTGTAATAGCCATGAAATCGATCTAAAAACCACTGCCGTTACCATCTTTAGGCAATAGCAAGAAACTCCAATGGCCTACGTCTATATATTCATTAGAAAACCAAAGACTGAAAATTGAATGCCATGTAAGATGAAAGAAAATGAGAGAAGAAAATCTAACAGATGTTCTCAATGCAAAGGTACCAATACAGTTTATCTTGATAGTAAAAGGTTGAACATTGAGTAAAAGCATAACTAAATTGTAAGTATCAGCAAATGAAAATTAATGGTTGAATGCAGTTCCTCCCCTGAAAGAAACTAGGCTCTCTGCATACAATGCTAGCTCTAATGCAGTTCCTTCAAATTGGAGTGTCTTTATCTCTTTGTTATCTCGATGATGCCACGCCAGAAATTTGCTTTCTTGGTTAACAAGGAAGATTTCACCATCGCGGCCGACTCCTAATGGTATAGTGGCAGGAGGAAAAGATTCAATGGTGAATAATTTTGTCCAAGAGTTCTTTAGACCAAGTTCACCCAACACCCATACATCATAGCAGCCATATCTCACATAATAATCATGACAAAGTAACACACCAAGTGATCCGTTGATTTCCATTAAATAGGTAAGATAGCGTGTTGTTCTACAGCTCTTACCCAATCTCCCATCAGGGAATGGTGTTGTAACGAAAACTTCATTACTCATGTCAAATGAGAGGAGCAATTCTTCACTATCAACAACTGCCAAACAGTGATAAAATCCGTTGGAGTAGACTTGATCGATCCCATGACAATTGAAGAATTCAGCAGTTAAGTTGTCATTGAACTTTCTCCAAGAATCAGTAGTTAAGTTGTACAAAGCAACTCGGTTACCTCGGGGGACTCTGTCGAAATCACCCTCCCAAAATGTGTCAATCCTAATTACTTTATACTCATCTCTCTTGGAATCATAACCCAGACCAGCTACATCAATGGTATTTTCAGAGCTTGGCGGACACTCAAAAGGACACATAGGGAGAATTTTAAATTCCTTAGTCGCAATGTTCCACAAAAGAATACCACTAAAGCAGTCACAAAGACAAATTATGCCATTGCAATGACCTAGGATATGTATATGTATCGGATCATCAGTAAAGGATGGTATATCAAGATTGGCAACAACATCAAGAGTTTGATTGGAAATAAAAGAGACCATAGCCTTTCTCTGTGAAAAATTCACTTGTTTCATGAGGAGACAGGTCTTGTTTTTACTAAAAGAATAGTGGGCCGTAATAAATTGAGGGCTTTGAATCAAGCAACACCAAGACTAACCTACACACCTGAATCGCTTTAGAGATTTGACAGGCAATCTTGCCAGAATATCCACCACAATATCTTCAGGCAACGAATGGGTGATCGCGGCTGCAGCCATTGATGATCTTCCTTGACGGTGTCCCCCTCTGCGTGTGTAAACGAGAGATTTGAGTATATGCAATACTTTCGAAGGGATGGGAAAACTTATGTGATTTGATTTTATGCAGCGTAAATGGTAACTGACATTTGACAGGCAACACCTCTTGCAAGTCGTCTGGCATTCTATTGGGTTATTTATTGTACCAACTATTAAATTTAAGAAAAGCGACGTCATTGCTTAACTGTTAAGTAAGCGGTTGTTTAAACATCCGGATTAATTAAAATGGATTTCGAGTTTTATTCGGATGTTCCTAATTTTGATTATTTGAGCTTTCTAATCAGAGTTGTTTGATATTGGACTTGTGCAAACTTGATAATCTTGAGTCCAAATTTTCCAATCTAAAATCACATGGGCCAAAATTTAATTTCAATCCACTTCTAGTTAAATGGATCTTTTGTGCTTTAAAAGTTAAAAAGCTTAAGTCATTTGAGGCTTAAAGCCCAAATTTCCAGACTCATGCAATCAAATTAGTGCTTTAATTAAATGAAAGGTACGAGGCAAACTCCGGAATACAATGCTAAAATTTCTCGTTTTACGAGAGTTAGGTTGAGCTCTATAGCATTTTAATTAAACAAATAATTTAATTAACGAATGAAAATTAAATAAAAAAGGAATAAAAAATTTAATAAAATAAATATAAGAACAAATTGAAAGAAAATCAAATCACAAGCAGATACCGTGCATGAAACCACTAGCAACAATGTCTACCAGCCCTGCAATTCAGCCAACCTATCCCTTGAATCGTCAAGCCACCCTACCAGCCATCATTGCAGTCGAAATTAAGCTGCCAACAACCCTCTTTCTTACCCCGTATATTTCTACCTACTTTTCGTTTTTTCTCATGAACCTAAAATATGAAACTACTTATAAAAGTGAACAGAGAAATCAACAGAGGGGGAAATTTTGAAAAAGAAAAAAAAAACTTCAAAAACAAAAATCTGTTACCATCACCACCAGTACCCTTGTGCTACTAGCACACCCACTTAGGCAAAGAACCCAAACTCGTCACCAATTTCATCTAAAAGCCATCAAAGCTAAACCCATGGACCACGTCAATCCACCAAAAAGCAAACACAAAAACCCTTCAACCCTTGCTCGCCGAAACCACCACACCCATCTACAATAGCCAAATACGCCAGAACTTCATCAAATTCCATCTGGAATAAAAAGGTCCTACTCTACTTCTCATTCGAAAACCATCACAGAAAAACCAAAAATGAAAATAATTTCCCTAAAACCCAAAAAATACACTATCAAAAGTAAAAAAAGGCAATAAATGATAAGAGTAAAAGATAGCGATTTTGTTGGTTTTGGGCAGCTAATCGGCCATTGAGTATTCTTGGAATTTTTTGACTTGGATCTAGGTGGCAATACAGATACTCAATCTCTCGTTTACTTACACACAGTGAGGAAGATTATTAATGGCTGCACTAACAATCACCCATTCGTTGCCTGAAAATGTTGTGGAGAAGAATTTTGGTTAAGGTCATGGTTACGTTTTCGGTCACATTAAATATATTATGATTGTGAATGTAATAATAATTATCGGTGTAACGGATACAATAACAATAGATACCTTCATTGTGGTTGTAAATTTTTTTTATTTTATATAACTATAAACATCTTGTCTTACTCAAAGTCCAAACTTGGATTTTTTATTTATTTTATTTTATTTTATTTTTATTAAATTTATATATACATATGTTATTATTTATTTATTTATTTATTTTTGTTATTTTTAATTTTATTTAATTTCTTTGATATCCTTAGCTTCAAATTTCATTTATATTTTCTTTAAATTATCTAATTATTTTAAAAAAATCAAATAGATGAAGTTTGGGTGATATTATCTTAGGTGATAAACAATAGGATTGATTTCAGAGGATAATCTAGGTATTTGTTTGAAATAAATTTAATTCTAATTGAATTGGGATTCTGTTAAATCTCCCTCTATAAATAGACTTGAAATCATCACACAACGATCACACACACAATAGTAAGCATAGTAAACAATAAGAGATAGTATTTTAACAAGAAAGATAGCAGCAACAAATAAAGAGAAAACAAAGAGCATCCAAAATTTTGAAAGAGAGAAAAAAGTTTTTAGCAGAAGGATTTTTTAGAGTTTTTAAGTTGGGAGAATCTAATTTGGTTTTTTTTTTAAAGATTCTAGGAGCTATAAGTCTAATTTGGTGTTTTGGAGCAAATTTTTCTAAATTTCTAAAATTTTTTTTAGAAATTCTAGAATCCAACCAAAATTTCGACAAACTTCAAATTTTTCGATGACTCTCTAACAATTTTTTTCAATTTTCAACAATATTCTTCAAAAACTGACAAAGCATTCAACTGACGTTCATAAGCTTTAGAGAGAGAAGTAGAGAAAAAGAAAGAGAGGAGAGAAAGAAAAAAGAAATCTAAGGAAAGAAAAAACAAATTTGCAAGTTTTATAATGTCCTAGAACAATGTCGTTTTGAGTAAGGTTAAACCCTAAAATCCGTGTGTTTTGCATTGACCCAACTCGAACCATACCGCACTACCCAACGACTCACAATCCTCCTAAGCTAATTAAGCTTCTAAGCCGAGCCAACTAGTCTTGAGCCGTGCCATATCCTGTTACCTTTTGTTCAATTTTCAACAATATTCTTAAAAAACTGACAAAGCATTCAACCGACGTTCATAAGCTTTAGAGAGAGAAGCAGAGAAAATGAAAGAAATGAGAGAAAGAAAAAAGAAATCTAAGGAAAGAAAAAAAAATTTTGCAAGTTTTATAATGTCCTACAACAATGTCGTTTTGAGTAAGGTTAAACCCTAAAATCCGTGTGTTTTGCATTGACCCAACTCGAACCATACCGCACTACCCAACGACTCACAATCCTCCTAAGCTAATTGAGCTTCTAAGTCGAGCCCATCTACCGTGCCATCCTATATCTTCTGCTTAGCATTCTCCAGCCACTAAAACCGAGTCAATCTTGTTGGTATAAATTTCATTTTCATTATTTATTTATTTTTCATTTATTTGAATATTTTCTTTATTAATTGTTTTTATTTATTTTATTATTAGTGGTTTATTTATTTGTTTTTATTTTAATTTATTTATTTGATTATTTATGTATTTATTTATTGTAAATATTTTTATAAAAAAATAAAAAAAAAATCTTTTCAAATAAAATGAATCTTATCACATATTGGAGGGGTTCAAACTTCTAAAAATAAATTTTTGAATAAAAAAATGAATCTTACCGTCCAAACATGTTGTAGAGGGTTTAAATTTCTAAAAAAGAATTTTTGAATCAAAATGAACTTGCCCAATATATTGGAGGGTTTAAATTTAAAAAAAAAAAAAGAATTTTTGAATAAAATGAACCTTACCAACATGTTGAAGGGTTTAAATTCTCAAGAAATGAATTCTTCAATAGAATAAAGTCTTACGAACATATTGAGAGGCTTGTGATTTTAAAAATAAGGTTTTACCAATAGATTGGAGAACCTTATGAATTTCTCATAAAAATTAAATTTCAAGGTAAATAAAAAAAATAGTCTTCAAAAAGCCTTACCAACATATTAAAGGGTTTGTGATTTTAAAAATAAGGTTTTACTAACAGATTAGAGAACTTTATGATTTTTAATTAAGATTTAAAAGAAAAAAAATAGTTTCCATATGATCCTACCAATATATTGGAGGAGAATCTTTGATAAAAAATCTTACCAATATATTAGAAGATATTTTTGAAAATAAAGTATTTTTATAAAAATAGATTTTGAATCTTCAATGATGGAATTACAAACAACGTTGCAAATAACTTCTTTGTAAATTCTTAGGTGAGAAATTCTTTCTTAATTTTACTAACATATTGGAGAATTTAGAAAAGATTTTCAATATTAAGATTCTCACAAAAATTTCACTTATCACAAATAAAAATTTTTACACAAATTAAATGAATCCAACAACGGAACTTCTTCAAAATATGACAAATAGTCTCCTTAAATACTCCTAAGGTGAGAAAATATACATATTGAAGTAATTTAAGGATAATTAACAATAAGTAATTATATGGTAAGATTTTTAAAGCTTTTGGATAACATGAAATCAAACTGATACTATCATTTGGATGGGGGTTGTGGGAGTGCTATAACCTTTCTCATAATTAACCATACTTTCAGACTTAGTTCTAGTTTCATAGACATAAATCTACCTTTTAAATATGCCTAAGTCAAACTTGGGACTTCTTTTTAAAATGAGATAGATCAATTAGGTGACCAATCGCATATAAACAAAAAAGATAAGTGGTGACTCCCTAAGTCAGGTCTAGCAATGGCTTTACAAATCTATAAGTTATGATAGTTTGGCAGCTTCGTTGGGGATTCTAAGAGTTAGGTAAGTAAACTCGTGTTATCCAAAACCTATGTTAAAATTAAGAGTTTTTCTTTAAATGATTTATCTAGTTCTAATTATACCATATTCTATCACTTGCATCTATATGACATGAGCTCTATACTTGAGCACTGTTTTTTAAAAAGAGTTAAGTACCTATGCTCTCGTGAGATTTCATGTCTCCATCCCGACTAGTAAAACACTCTCACTCAAATTGAATCATTTCCATCTGTAGTTTGTGATAGACGAGGATTAAGGTGTCTTATTAGTCTATGATGGATAATTATGTAAGGAATAATTTGGGAACTGTTAGAGCTAACCCAAACTGCATATAGTTAGCCTTATGAGCCTAACCAATAGGTAGAGCCATGATAGTCCTTTTTGTAGAAATGACCCAAACTTAGGACACATACCTTTTATATATAAGTTCTGCATAAACTTGTTTTGTTCTTTTATTTCTTTGTACTGGATGCTGACTTTGTTCTTGTTTGTTACTTCATTTTTGCATGAATCTTGTTAACGTCAATAAGATTGCAATTTTTTTTAATCATTTCATGCATCTCATTCATTCATAAATCATCATTCATGTATTACGTTCATTTCATAATATAGAATGCTTTTGTTTTATTTGGGTAACAACATAAAAAGACATGGAAGAACAATTAGAGCACCAATCCAAGCCCCATAACTTATCCAAGAATTGGGGCATAACCTACGAGAGTAAAAATGCAACTTGCCAAGCGACTAGGAAAACTTGAAGCAACAAATACTTAAAAGTCTTCATCAACTCTAATTTGCTCAC